GATGTGTCTCTGTATATGTGTTAGTAACTGGTTAGTCACAGGTAAATGTCCTAAAACTGCACAAACACACACAAAAGCATATATTTCCTTAGAGCCGTTCTCTCTCTGTGTGTTTCACAAAATTACTTCACAGTGAATGTGCTTAAAGATGTCGGCAGAGAGAAAGAGAGACGCTTTCTGACTCATGTTTAGGTCATCTACCTTCCTTGAACACACACACACACACACACACACACACACACACACACACACACACACACAGCAGGTTCCAGTTTTGTGTTGGTTTCTCTTCTGTTGCTTTGCGCCCACAGACTGGGCAAGAAAACCATCTCCTCTCTCTCTATTTCTCTCTTTCTTAAAATATCATCCGTATTTTATCCATCCGTAGACTGACTTTCATTCCCGTGTGTTTACAGGAATAGCTCTCACGTCTTCTGCTTCTTCAGGTCTTTAGCATTTATATTTAATTCATTTAGGAGATGCTTTTGTACAAATCGATTGACTAATGAGGTCTGGTGCAACACAAGCGATTCATCTTAACCAAAGCACTAGTGTTCCTCAGGGCTTCTGGCTTGAATGCAAATGAGGAGGGCGGGGTCTTCAAACCTGTCCTGAAGATGACCTATAAAATCCTTTCAAAAATCCAATGCATAATTCATACGTTGGAATAATCTACAACACTTGATTATTCCATGTCTTGTAGATCAATATTTCAGTTTTTTTTCAATATCTCTCTCATGACATTCGATTGATTGTTAAAGATGCTCTTAGCATGTGTGTGATGCCACATATATTTATATATAAACACACACACAACGCGTTAACGCATGCGATTAATTTTACAATCCTTAACGCGTTAAAATAATTTAACGCAATTAACACAAAATTACTGAAGCACAATTTCTATTCTAACTCTTTAACCCAATTTTGCTACTCTGCTTGCGATTAGATCATTTTAAGCTGCTAAACTCCGGGAAAGTTTTCAGTCCAATGATCCAGTAAGCGAATGCATTCAAACAATCCGTCCAAAACAGCGCTAATATGAAGGAAACCAGGCTGATTACATCAGAGATTGCAGAGAGAACAGAGACTCGCGTTGCGTTTTAAGTGAATTATTCATTCAAGTGTGTTTCGTTTTAAAACACGAGCTCTGTCATATTCTGTGATTGTCTCTGAAGAGCGCGAGCCCTCACACGTTGCGCTGTGTGAAGAACAGACTGAACGGATTGTCAACACATCCCACCGCTGTATGATGATCCAGTAAGCGAATGCATTCAAACAATCCGTCCAAAAAGCACTAATATAAAGCAAACCAGGCTGATTACATCAGAGATTGCAGAGAGAACAGAGACTCACGTTGCGTTTTCAGTGAATTATTAATTCCAGTGTGTTTGGCTTTTAAACACGAGCTCTGTCATATTCTGTGATTGTCTCTGAAGAGCGCGAGCCCTCACATGTCGTGCTGTGTGTGAAGTACAGACTGAACTGATGGTCAACACATCCCACCGCTGTATGGCCAGATGAGATGCGTGAGTCCGTTATAATAATGCGTGTATGAGTGCTCTTCACGCACTGATCGCACTTTGTATTTATGCACAGGCACGGACATTTCCGTACATTCACGCTGTTTCCACTCACATTCACGATAATGTTTTGATTTGTCATGTGTATGTTGCTGTGTTTAGTTATACGGAATGGATCCGTGTACTGTAGTAGATATATGCAGTCAGCAGGTGGTTGGTTTAGGTTTTTTTTGGCATCTCCATGTGGTCCTGTTCGGTATCGCAACTTGGCTTCTCTAAAATGTAAAAAAGCTCTTTGCTGTTGCACTGTACACATACTATAAAATTCTGATTTTTTTTTTCTGTCATATGTGCTTATTATATGGGCTCCTTATATCATTTGGTTCTTTGGTGTCTTTCTTTGGTTCCTAAGTGTCTAAATTTAAGTCTTTCCTAAGACATCTAAATTTATCTTGAAAAGAGCTTGCAGAAAATATAGATTTTTGAGAATCACCCTTCAATCTTTTGGTTTACTTTGCTGAATATGGCAAATGATGATAAAATAAACATTTGAAACAAGATAAATGGTCTATGCTTAATTTCATGAAGTGTGCGATTAATCGCGATTAATCACAGTACATTGCATTTTTTAGTTTTGAACTATATGATCTGATCAAATGTGATTTAATTTACAGATCTATTTTCATAATCAATATAATAATTATATAAAAAACTATATTATAGTAAGTTCTAATATAACTTATATTTTTGTGATGTTTTGTTGATGTTACAGATTTTATTTAAATATACATCTAGGAAGTACACCTTGGCTTGACAGGAGTTATTTCTTGATGCTCTAATGAAGTATTTCTTATTTATTACATGGTTTTATGAAATATTTGATTCTGATTGGTCTAGTCATTAGACTGACTACTTTTTACATTGTAATAAACAATTTTAATTCTTATCTGAAGCTTTAAAGTTGCAATGAAATGAAAACAATTACAGATCTTTTCTCCTGTATTGTGACATACATCCGAATGTAACAGATCACTGAAAAAGAGAAAATGTAGCTTTACGCACCAATTTGTTGATTTTAAGGTGTGGTGTTGCACTAAAAATGAAGGCAGATGAACGCAAACTTTCAGGGGCAGGGTTTAGGTGGACTAAAGGTTTAGAGAAGTGTCATGAAATCCCCCTATTTTAGCACTGGTCGTTAATATCTCAGATTTGAAAATGACTAAATAAATGGGCATGTAATGCTGTATAAAAGTGGGAGTGTAGAGGGTGGGAAGGGGGTGGGGGGACAACAACCAATAAAACACAGACCTATTATACAAAGTAATGAATATTAAAATGGGAATGGAGAAAAAATGGGAGTCACTTTGAGGAGCATTAGGCCTGGGACACACTAGATGATTTTCAAATCCTAAACTATTTTAAAACTGGTGGAGGCCACAGACTTAAAAGTAATTTGAAACTGTCCTTAACATGATAATCCTCCGAACGAACACACTACACTTTTTGGTCATCGCATTCATGATCAGATGTACCACTGTAGCCTATCAGTGCCATTATTTGCGCGCATACACACACACACACACACACACACTGTGGTGTGTAATCTGGTACATGTTTAGACAAGAGAAGATGAAATATGTCCATAAAAACTTAAAACGGACCAGATATTATCTGCGCTTCCAGTGTTTTTAAATTCATTGAGACTGCACAGAAAGCTCTCTCATGCGCGTTCCGTGTGTTGTGACGTAAATGCTTCTAACAGACATACAGGTACACTGCTCAAAAAATTAAGGGGACACTTAAATCACACATTGTATCTCCATAAACGAAATATAGTCTTTACTTATATACATTATGTAATTCGTAAGAATAAAACAATGTGACAATGGTCGGTGGAAGCCAAAATCATCAACTCAGTGAGGGCTGAATTCAAAATCACACCAAAAATCAAAGTAAAAAAAAAAAAATTATTACAGGCGGATCCAACTTGCATTAATTTCATCAAAGCAACTCATAATGTAAGTCAGTAGTATGCATGGCCCCCACATGCACTTCTGACAACGTCTGGGCATGCTCCTGATGAGATTGCGGATGGTGTGAATTGAATTCAGGTCTGGGGAACGTGAGGGCCAGTCATTGTCATCAATGCCTTCATAATCCAGAAACTGCCTACACACTCTGGCCATTTGAGGCCGGGAATTGTCATGCACTAGGAGGAACCCAGGGCCCACTGCACCAGCGTAAGGTCTGACAATGGCTCTAAAGATCTCATCCCGGTACCTAACAGCAGAGAGGGTACCTCTAGCTAGCATGTGGACGTCTGTGTGACCCTACAAGGATATTCCTCCTCAGACCATCATGGACCCACCGCCAAAATCATGCTGGATTTCAAATGCAGCTTAACGATCCCCAAAGGATCTCCAGACTTTCATTTGAACCAAAGCAGGCAAAACGGATTTATAATCACTTATGCTTCCAAACTGAACTGCACTGAATTGCACTTGATCGGAAACAACAGTGTTGTGTTTTGGGTTGAAAAGTAGGCCTACTAAACACATGAAGTACCTTAGAATAGGTTAAAAGAAAATTAATGGATTCACCTTGATTCAACCAAGTGATTAAATGTTTGTATCTTTACATGAGATCTCAGACTAGAAATTATCAAGAAATCCTAATTGGTAGGGCATCCAGTGAGTAAATAACCATTGACTCCATGAATGAATTAAATCATTCCACTTGATCTTCGGACAGATTATCAGGCATAGACGCTGTATTTATCAACCTCAATTAATTTAATCCTGATGGCAAGAGCAAAACAAACACTCTACTCCTAAATTAAGTAACTTACTCTCTCAAACTGAATAATGCTCCAAAAGCCTCTAGCAAGAATGGAAAGCAGATAAGAGAAATAACCAGTGAATAGAATCACATTAAGAAATTCATTTATTGCATTACAATTCAAAGGACAACAATATCTTATGCGTATTGTGGAATAAGAAGTCCAAAAGCTAAATGAGTAAAGTTTTTGTAAAAGCTTTAGGTAAACCAAAATTAAGTAAGCCAATTCTTTTGGACTGACTACAATAAGATTCAGACTTGTTATATAGAAGGAATGAAGAGACTTTTTGGTTGTTTTCAGGATCCAGATGGTCCTGACATTTACATGAGGAAAAAGCTTTTGTTATGGACAGTTGTATTGATTTTATTTGGTATAACACCGCGTTTACACCGGACGTAAACTACGCGGTGTGACGTGACAAAATACAATAGAAGCTATTATATTCAGTGATGCTGTCTACACTGGATCCGGTGCGACACAACAAATCCACGACAGTAAACTGCTGCCTCATTCTATTTATGACATACTGACACAAAATCCAAATGATTTGCAATGGTCGCTTTGTCGCTTCCAGTGTAGACAGCCTATGTGAGTCCGGTGTAGACAAGGTGTCAGAATCCCTCAATGTTTTTTTGTTGTTTTTTTCAAAAAGGTCTCGTGTTCAGAGGAAGAAGGCACTGACCAGTTCACATCCTCTGAACTGGATTGATACCCAGAATGTCAAAACCTTTGGCCATCACTGCTGCGGTGGCTTCACAGATGAGCATCCGCCACATGTTGACTTTAACCACTTCCCCTGGGAAGAACGATGCAGAGCAGTCATTAGTTAAACAGGCCATTTGCAAAGAGGCAGGATCATTTCAATCAAATCAAGGATAATCTGCCATGTCTTTTTGTTATCTTAAAATACTTTTTCTCCTAGTTTAATGTGAGATGCATAAGTAACCCATTAAACATTGTTTAGGAAACTTGTTTGAAAATAATTATTTTTGCATTTGCTGTGGAAATTGTTTACCTTCAAATCACTGTGCTTAAAACTAAAGAATTATGAAAGAAAACTTAAAAGTCCCATAAGCAAAGCCTTTTTCAAACTCTTCAGTACAGCTCAATTTCATTAATATATATATATATATACATATAATATAAAGACTAAAGGAGATGTACAATTCAAGAGACAGTAGCTTCATCAGTGCCTAAGTACTAGATTACTAGATTTTAATGAGGACATTAAAATGGGAGAAAAAAAACAACTAAGAGATTTTCTGATATTGTACTAGATTAGATCTCCCTTTTCAAATGAATCATTTGTTGTTCATTAAAACGTATTGCACACAACTGTGAAAAACAGTGTTCTTAAATTACATCTAAATTACAGCCCTTCTATTTAGCATCTTTCATTACCGTAAAACTTTATTCTGACTTGTGACTAAATGCATTTCTGGACCGATTACACCCCTGACACATCTGCTAATCAGCAACAACCACAAGAACTTAAATTTATTTATCCATTAGGACCTCATAACCATTAAAATTTTGGGTACTGAGCATGTTTTTCTTTCCTAGTTGGGGGGACCCACCTGTCTGCCGGTCCTTCTCCACACAGTAGCAGTTGTCATAGAACTCTGTGAAGGTGGTGGCCAGCTCGTAGAGGTAGTCACACAATGTGTGAAGCAGCAGGTCATCTGTGATCTTTTGCAGAATTTCAGGGAAGCGCAGGATGCACTTACCCAGTTTCCACTCTTTCTCATGGTCCAGTAGGACCTCTGTGGTCTCGGCTGCTTTGTGCAAGGTGGCCTCCTGGATGTTAGCCAGTCTAGCTATAGACCTGGAGATAAATGGAAGAATGGGTGTTATAGTACATATTATGAATCTCATTTCCGCATGGTCAAACTAGACACATTATGTTCGGCTGAAAATCAAATTGAGCTTATTGACAGCAAACCCTGAATACGAAACTGTATTATTAATTATTAGCAATTAAATGTTTATTTTTTTATTTCTGTTATTTGCATTCTGTCATTTTAATTTAATTTGTGTGCGTTCATTGTTCTAGCTTTTTAGTTTTAGTGTTTTCTTTTTTTTCAGTTTTAGTACTTTAGGGCTTCAAAAGGTAATGTGCTTACTGTATATCGTTGCTGTTACATTTCCATCAAGTTTGTTAGAGTATTTTTTTTTTCATTTATTTAACTAGTTTTGATGCCATGAAATTGTATATTAGTTTCAGTTTTTCCTAGTAATGCTAGTTTTTATTTCCGTTAACAAAAATATTTTAACTTAGTCATCAACGATAATTATACTGCCATACGCAAATACAATTTCAGGGGTAAGGTGGATTAACAGGTTTTCAGTGAATCATTTAATTTCATTTAAATTTTCGGTCTGTTTAAAAATGGCTTCATAAAAACATGGAAAACAGCTCCTAAGTCATATGAATCATTTTATGATAAGTTTTCATTATGAATCTTGACAGCCACCGGTCACAGTATGTTTCTACTGTGTGGAAAATAAGCAGATAGAACTTTCTTCAGATTTTTTTTTAAATTATAAAACTTTTGTTTTATTATTGAGATCAACACAGGATAAGATTAATGGAATGGCGAAACAAAAATTGTAAGTGCACAAAGGAAAGGAGTGACATTTAACTGCTGCAACATCTCACATAATAAGAAAAACATTACACAAGCAAAAAAAAAAACATCACCATGACTAAGTGTCTAAAAGTACATTCTGCCAGAGCATTAGAGGATCAGGTTCAGTTCAATGCATTTTGAAGAACCAAATGCTGAAATCCCCACCAACTGCTGCCATGGCCAATTATTATTATTTGGGCTCTGCTCCTGTCATTGGATCAGATTTCCAACTTCACTTCTTCCAAATATGATGTTCTATTACCAATTGTTATGAACAGCCCACTAAAGATAGGAAAAAGCTTTCCAAATGCATGAAATGAATGAAACCGGAGGGACTGAGGTACCCCAAGCTCCTGACATCAGGTTATCAGAGCAAACACAAGGTGATAAAGAGTAAAAATAAAAGAGCACTTGTGCGGAGCATCCACTAGGATGCCAACATAAGTAGATCTGTCACAAACACACACATTTCAGCCAGAAAAACACAGTGACTGCAAAATAGATGCATGTATTCATTCATTTGCACATAAACTCAAAGCTCCTGTGTCCTACATACTGTACATATCAGTGAAGATGGGTCAATACTGTAATATAGACAATACAGGACATAAGAAAGCCATTCAATGTCCATAGCTCATTAGTCAACTAGAAAAAAAAAATCTAAAGGAGAATTTTGCTAAATATATGCACTGTATTAAATATTCTTTATATTTTTAGTGATGTCTTCATTATTTAATGTATGTTCAAATAAATATGTCATGAAAAGTTATGACAGCCACTGTGTAAATGTTTATATTTCCACAACAAATTGAAGTAGAAACATAATTAGTTCTTTAAATATAAAAATTGCCTTATGTGACATTTAAATGTTTCTATATAACATGTATACAAGTGTTGATTATTATATTTAAAAAATAAACAGCAATTTAATTTTATAGTTTGGTAATTTTAACCTTTAATATTATAGCAATGTAGCAACTGACAATTCCTTGAACAATTTACAGTTTTAATTGAGAATTATTTATTTTTCCTTAAGAAAAACTAATGTGTACTGTACCGGACACATATCCAAATGAATCAAATCAGAATTTGTGAATCAAAATCTAATCAAATTGTGAAATCTGTGTCAATAACCAGTCCCACATAAGGGTTTCCATAATAAGAATTAATGTATGAGGTATGTATTTTTTGTATAATTGTTTCTTTTCTTTTTTTTTTGGTTCTGATATTTTGGTTAAAACTAAAATCTTATTATGAACTAAAATCTTTTCATATTTTAGAATAAATAATTAGATACCATAAAAAAAAATTAACACCACATCATTGATGCAGATCAATACCCAGCAGGGCTCATTTGATGTGGATGAAAATATCCATATCCAATACCTGATGCGTGTAAAGGCATAGAGGAGATAGGCCGCAGTGTTTCCCCTGTCATCTAGCATCTTGTCGAAGGAAAAGATGTAGTCATTGATGCGGTTGTGTGAAAGGTCTGCATATTTAATGCACCCAAAAGCCACAGCACGCTGAGCCTTCAACAGCTCTTCCGGGGTCAGAACCTGCAACATATGGTTTCAAAAAGTTGTGAGGTTAGAGCAGGCAAGACTTTGCCACCCTTACAAAAAACAAGTAACCAAGTATGTTCCGAATACTCAAGGAGAAAAAAATTAGCTAATCTTAAAATCAAATTAGAGACATTTCGCAGGTAAAAAAAAAAAGGGGGTCTTTTTTTCCAATAGTGTAGCTATGTATGAAGCACTACTCGCATGGAAGTCACTTTCAAACCAAGGAGCTTTAAAAATCTGCATGACCTACTTGAACACGAGCGAAATCTGTGCGGTGAACTTCATGAAATTACAGATCATGCTGATTCCTATAGAAATGATGACTTCACCTATGAAATTTTACAGAGGTAAAAGTGACTGCACTTTTACACTTATATTACTATATTTTATTTTTACGGATTTGTGTCCATTTAAAGAAGAATGAACATAACTAATAATAAGAGTGCTATAACAAGATAAAAAAATAGCTTTAGATCAGCAGATCAGATTGAATGTTGACTCTGTCCTACATCATTGGTTCAAACTGATTATACTCACAGGAATATTGCATGATTAGACACCTGCTAACTTTTCTGCCTATGAAAACTTAAAAAAATGTACGTGTGCCATTAACATTCCCAAAAAAATCAAATGAAAAAAATAATAATAAAAAATTTGAGGACATCTAAATGTCTAAATACTTTTTTACTTGTGTCAGAAAAGACAATTGTATTTTTCAAACTCCTTTACTGTCAGAAGTTCTCGGCACTGTTTGTGAGATAGCAATCAATTGCATTAGGCATTAGGAGGTTCTTCATTTCTGAATGCAAAGGAATTGTGAGTAATATAGGCAGTAATTGGTACAGCTGGCCCTTGGTCTCATTTGAGATCTATTGATTTTTCTGAACTAAACTGAGTACTCGCACACAAAAAGGGAGCTGGAAGGAGGCTTTCAGAGTTTCCTCAGAGTTTGAGGGGCTCACCTTATCTCTCCCCTTCTCCTTCAGTTTGTCCATGGATCTTTTCAGACCCTCCTCCAGAAGGTCCATTAGACGAACCGTGTCTCCTGAACGAGTCTTAAACTTTTTTCTGGGAAGGAGATTATTCATTACAATATTTTCATTACAGCTAAAACTAGTGGTACATGGGGCACTAGGCCTGCAACTAAAAAATTAATTTGATGAACCAATTAATCTGTCGATTTTTTCCTTTGATTACTCAAATATTAATATTCTATCAGATATCTTGCCCAGCGTTCTCCTTCAAAGGATGTGCAAATTCAAGTCTAACACTAATTAATTGATACTTTTAGTCATCAAGGACACACTGAATTGATCAAAAGTGACAGTAAAAACACTTATAATGTTACAAAAGATTTCTATTTTAAATAAATGTTCATTTCTATTCATTAAGAACCCTGAAAAAAAAATCCAAATCATTTCCACAAAAATCTGCACAGCACATCTATTTTCAACACTGAGCATGTTTATATGCACACCAGTAAGCTGATAACCCACAAATATCAGCTTATAATTAATTTAATAATAATAATTTATGCATTTAGCAGACACTTTTATCCAAAGTGACTTACAGTGCATTCAGGCTATACATTTTTTACCAGTATGCGCAACGCTGAACTCATACATAATCCGCCCGGAGCTGCTTCCGTGTACAACTGTTGGCGCAAGCTACATTAAAGTGATTATTACGTTTTGAATATGGATATTTTTCTTACAAAAACGCATCGATTCGCTACAGGAGGCCTTTGTTCACCCCCCGGAGCCGTGTGAGACACTTTTTTTATGGATGGGCGCTTTTTATTTAACTTCTTTTGGACTGATGCATGCAACACCCGCTGAGTGGCATTAACAGCTTGAAAGATCAAAGACAATTTTTAATATAACTCCGACTGGATTCGTCTGAAAGAAGAAAGTCATATACACCTAGGATGACTTCAGGGTGAGTAATTTATGGGCTAATTTTAATTTTTGGGTGAACTAACCCTTTAAATCTGCACTAAGGATGCGTTCCTGTCACGTATCACACATGCGCACTTCAATAAGCCAACAGAAAGCAGGTTAATGCGTTTACATTCCGCGAAAAATCAAAGCAAGAGGTAAAAAACTACCCGTGTCGACCAGTTTATGCTTAAGCTGTTTATGACCTTACTCCGATAAAAGAAAAGAGGTTACCGCGTTTACATGAACACGTGTGTTGTCGGCATATTAAACATAATCGGCTTAAGAACGTGCATGTAAACGTACTCATTGATAATAAGAAATGTTTCTGAGCACCAATTATATTAGAATGAAGGATGACGTGACACTGAAGACTGGAGTGATGGTGGCTAAAAAAAAATCAGCTTTGCCATCAGAAGAATAAATTACATTTTAAAATATATTAACAGAAAATTATAAAAAAGTTGTAATAATATTTCACACAGTTAAATTACATTACATTTAGGAGTAGCTTATCAGTGGTGACTACGTCAAGGTGATGTCCATATGGCAGAAATTAAAAAAATATATAATAATAATAAAATCATGGTCACCTCGACCAATCAAAATTTGCTGATTATTTTTATTATTAATGTTACTGATTACTAGCTGTTACAGCCCTATGAGTCACCCTGGTGGAAAGATGATAAAGGTGACTTACATACTGATCAATGTACTTACTTGTCCTCCCCGAGCACCACACCAAAACCTGCATGTTCTACCCGTGTGACCTTGGGGTCATACCAGCCTATCAGCTGAGCAGCTGCAAAGACCACTTGGAAGTGCACTGCCTGTCATACGTCGCATAAAAAAAACACACTGAAAACATTTAGTTATCTGGTCATCAACATCAATACAAATAATTCTCAGAATAAACAAAAAAATTCTGCACAGTTTGGATCAAGATCTTCATCATAAATCCTTAATTCAATTTTAGCCATGGAAAATCGAAAATGTCTTTCTTCTGTGTAAACAGAGCAGAATTGTAAACTAAATTGTGTTAACAGAGACGTTAGCAGACCGCGTTCCTGACCTAGACCGGCATTATTATTTGAGATGAGGAATCTATTGCATATATTTATAAACATACAGATGTTTGAATTCTGGGGTGTTTCTCCATCTTGCTCAGTGCCCTTGACCCCTGCTGCATGTGTCCTCATACATATCAGATAACTGTGGGAAGGTTTGTGCTCTGGAGTCTGTTCAAAATTTCACCAACACTCTCTGTGACATACCCACACACCTGGCCACTGTCGGTCACATAGATGATGATGTCAGCTTTCTCATCAAACAGCCTGTTTTTGATGGCAGCTAGATCGGAGGTATCATAAGTGTAGCCTCCATCCGATTTGACAATTGTCAGGGGAATAGACTGGCCCGGAGCAAACACTATCTTCCTGCCCTCGTCTAACTGCACCAGACCTGATGAGAGAGAACGGGATTGGAATATGAAAGAGGATGGTTAAGCGAGGGACTAAAAGCAATCTTAAAACAACACTGCCCCCAAATGGATATGTGCAATGCTTTTAAATGACCGTTACAGTTCAATTAAAGCTAAGCTCTACCGACAGAATCTGTGGCTGATTGTCGAATGGCACAGACAAGATTTTTGACCTGTCTTTTGGTCTGTAAATACAAACAGAAATCATAAATCATAATCATAAATATCATTAATAACACACTGTTTAGGAAGTAAAGCCAGTAGTATACGACATTAGTGCAATAAAATCACCTATCTACCTTGCCTGAACAACTTTACATTCAATCTTTAACTCATGTGATGCCCATGTAAATCCTGTTTGCAAGTATAACTGGCACTGTTTACAAGCTGTTTAGAGAAATAAAAATCCAACCACATAAACTGTCAATTATTTCTTCAGAATTAAAATATATAATTATTTAGTGAATAAAAAAATAAATAAAAATGGACAAACAAAATAACTGACTATAAAAATTAATAATAAATATTAATCAATTAATAAAATATACAATAAATAAATATTAATTGATAAATTATAAACAAACATACAATCAATCAATGAAACACTTCACTTTTAAGATGGCATAAGAGAAATTTATTTAAAATTTATATTTTAAATAATGTATTAATTTAATTTCTCTTATGCCATCTTAAAAGTGAAGTGTGTAATTTCTGCACCTACAGCAGCACAAAACAGAATTGCAATACCGAAGTGTGGCCCAGTAACTCGATCAATAGTGAGAGTTTGGGGTGGGACCACTTGTTTGTTTGAACAACAAAAGACTTGAGAAACAGACATTAATGGTGCAATAAATAAATAAATACACACTGGAATCAGATCCATGTGTGTTAGGTTTGAGGCCATCTATATGATACCCCCTAAAAAGTTCCCTAAAATAAACTTAATAGTATCCCCAGATAAACTGTTAACCTTTTCTATATGTCCCGCAAACCTGTTTCAATTAAAAATACATAAAGGAAATAAAGCAACTTATTAATATTTATTCAAATGCCAGTAGACTTGTTGAAAAAATGATACCTGTTCCAAAAACAAGCAAACATAACATTCAACATTACATATATCAATGTTTACTATTAGATAGTAAAACAACAAACGTAAGAAGTCAAAGAGCCCTAAATCTGTACCTTTTTCCTCAAACTCTTTTACCACAACTGTCATCATGTCCTGGTAGTAGGACTCTCCCCTCTCTTCTATGCGGATATCCAGGCAGTTGTAGACCTTTTGAAACTCTGCATTAGCAAAGCGGAAGGGACAAAGACGGTTTAATTTCAACAGTCACACCACAGGGAAATCCAATGTGGCACTCTCCTGAATTAACAAAGCCAGATTGGATGGCATCATCATAATTGGCCTTCATTAGACAAGCCTTAGTGGGGGCTGATTCAGGGGGGACTGAAGGGTCTGATTAAGGGATAAAGGTAGATGCTGTCTAGAGTTGGTGTCACAAGGAACAGACACGCCAGACAGTGGTGCAGGGCATCTGTGCACTTAGGACTGAACTTTTTAAACTAGTTTAAATATTGGTCATTAAGCACAGACATCGAAGTAAAGGGAAGAGACGAGCAAATGTGTGAAGAATGTCTCAGCTTTTAAATGTCAGAAGTAGAATTACATCAAAATAATAGATTTTTTAAAGTGTTTAAAATTTGATACCACCTTGGACACAAAAACTCTTCACTGCTTGAAAAGAAGCTTCACTACTTGGGAAAAACACATCCCTTTATTTCACCCTTTCTTGTTTGGAATGGAGGTGAATAAATGATTACTTTCAATTTTGAGTAAAGTTTTCCTTTAATATTGCACCTGCAAAGAAGTATCAGTATTTATTTATTTGTTTGTTTGTTACTGATATGAGCTGTACAAATTTTGTATTTAACACTGAGTTCACTGTTAAGTTAGTCTGACCCTTACTGTCCTAATTAAACATTAAAGAGTCTAAAGTATGGTAGCTGAGAGAGCTCAACGCGCAGCAACTTAAGAAAACACATGCAAATAGAAAAAGCACCAGCAAATTAACAAAACATCTTCATCAGTTTGAAAACACGTATACTGCAAATACATCAAATACAGAAATGTGCTGCAAATACTCGCAACACAACCAAATACAGAAACAGTGTTTCCCCTGCCATTATATTAGGGGGTTGGCCCGCCCCCCTTGAAGGTCAAGTTAATTTTATTTAATTATATTTTCTCTATAGCGCCAGATCACAACAGAAGTCATTTAAAGTTACCTTTCCGGATTTGCGGATCTTGTCTTTTTCTCCTACAGATGACTTGCAGGATCCTGTATGTTATAGTACTAAATTAGTTTTAATAATTTAACCACCACAGTGTCTTGTCTCCATTGGCAACACGCACGATTCGTGTGGATTGCAAGTAGCTGAGAGTGCAATCGGCGATTGCAAGTGACTTCGTGATTTAGTTTCCTTTTTCTTGTCTTCACCACCTGGCTACTTGTGTAAAATGTTAAGAGATTCAATTAAAAAAAAGAATTAATAAATGAAATTAAATAAAATAAAAAATAAAAAAAAGACTGTAAGTGACGTCATTCGCGGAAGTGCAGGTGTCAGAGTGCAAGTCTGAAAATGCAAGTGCATGTCTGCAGCCAGACCCTTCTCCGATGGGTGCGCGCACTCCCACTAGTATTTGTAAATATTAAGCTGCAAAACGACTATTTAAATATGAATTCTGCGTGTCTCTGTGTCAATGAATGGCGCAGACATGCGGTTTTGTTTACTACGCGTGACGCTTGCAGTGATTTTAGCGTCTGCCATCTCACTAAATGAGGACATAAATACATGAACAACATCTCCAGAACTGCTCTGGTCATGAGCATTTGACCGTTTCATTTGAGTAAAACTATCATCATATCATATACACAGAAATGTAAAGGTATTCACGGCAACCCGTCAAAATAAAAGTTCGGCAGAAATATATTACTATTGTTCAGTAGAATGTACGTAATAGGCTGCTACTACTACTACTAAAATTATTAAAACCTTATTTTTAAGGAATAATCATACAATATTTCTTCAATGTTTTAATTGTAATATTAAATGACCTTTATTTTCCAAAAAAAATAAAAACTCTGGATCACTTATTTAGGCTAATAATATCCAAAAAAGCTAAGGAATCATATGATCAGGATGTTAAAATAAACAAAAATCTCACCTTTCAGAGTAGACAGTAGCTGGGTTTTCATTACCCTTCAAATTGCACAAATTGAAATTGCAAATTAAAAATAAGCCCAATGGAAACATGTTAATTTAGCAAAAAACCCCATATATCGCAAAAAAGGTTTTACGCTTGCATGAGGAGGTTTTTCAGGCAATTTGAAAAAGGTGCACGCCATGACTTATCGCGAGAGGAAAAAAATATGTTTTAGTCGCTTAACATCGTTTGAAAACGCCGTCATTTCACAATAGGTTTTTTATCGACATTTATAAAATAACGCAAACGTTTTGCACAAATCTGTAATGGAAACGCAGCTAGCGATAAGCATGTCCCAGACAGGTCCGTCACTTGTTGCGGTTTCCTTAAACATTTCCGATGTGGTCTGTGCATATTTGCAGCATGTTTCTGTATTTGGTTGTGTTGTGTGTATTTGGTTATGTTGTAAGTATTTGCAGTGCATTTCTGTATTCAGTCGCGCTGAGTATTTGCAGCGAATGTACTGTCAAACTGATTAAAGAGGTCATGAACTGCATTTTTTAAATTATTTTATAATGTTCTCTGCGGTTCACTTATAATGTTAGTGTGATTTTACATAAAAAAAACACCATAATTTAGAAGTAATAGGCTATTTTCTATCCTGTTTTGAGCCGCTCTGCAGAACGGTCTGTTTTTATTGGCGGGGCACATTCAAGACTCACAAGTAAACGCCCACTGCTATAATTGGCTAACAGTTTAGCTTATTAAAATAACAGATGGACGCTGCTGTGACGTACTCTGAAACCAACATGGGTAATTTGGGTTAAAAACGTATAAATACAAAGTATATATCAAACAGTCTGGAACAGACAATGTAATAGTGATAAAAGCATGTTGACTTACACTTACGTGTTGCGACCAAGTGTGCCGCACAAGCGCTGAAAAGTAGGGTTGGGTTTCGTTTTTTTTTTTTTTCGATACCGGTGCCAAATCGATACTTTTAAAATGGTTCCGGTGCCTGAACCGATACTTATTAAAAAATAAATAAATAAATAAAAATTCCCCAAAAAAATGATGGATTGGCCATTAGAATAGAAATGGAATAGAGAGTGCAAATGTTAGAGGGTCAAGTTTTTTAATAAAAAAAAAACAAGTAGATAAAATTAGAAGTAGCATTAGAATAGAGAGTGCTAGAGTTAGAGGGTCAAATGAAGATATAAGAGATGTGTTTTCAGCCGTTTCTTGAAAATATTAAGGACTCAGCTGCTTGGATTGAGCTGGGCAGGTCATTCCACCAGGAGGGAACAGTTAATGTAGAAGACCATGAAAGTTTTATCATAGGTAGAATGCAAAATGTTTCAATACAAGCATTTCAGTCAAATGTAATTTATGCAATATTTCAAACCTTTAACCCACTTGGGAAAATCAACTCATGGCAACAGTTTAAAAGTAGCCCAATTCTGTGGAAAAAACGCGGACTTGGCAACCCTGCATCCAACAAGATTTGGACTTGCTTTGACTGATCACAGGTCGAGAATAAGGAGAGATGACTGACAAGACCATGCTGGAGTATTTGCTGCTCAACAGATTCTGAGCTCATTGACAAATATCTGATCTTGTAAGATGTGCTTGCTCCCTTTAGTGTGATCGTGATCGCGAAATCGAAAGTGAAAGTAAACAGCGCAAACGCTCATTCAAAAATATTTAAACACCTGCTGCCATCAGAGCAAGTGTAATTACTGCATTCGCGCGCTCCTTGGATGCCGTCATTTCTGGAGTTGTGCTTTTAAGTCGGAATGTGAAAACAACAAGGACACTCTCGTTACTACAAAGATGTGTTGGACTTGTATTATTAGAGCTTTCCGACTTGAGTTCACGTGCATTTTCTCAGTCGGGAAATTATTTTTCACGTGCGGTGCCAGTGATGATGCTTCTTACGTCCGTTTTGGAGAACCAGAGGCCAAATATTTCAATCCGTGCATTTTCTCAGTCGGGAAATTATTTTTCACGTGCGGTGCCAGTGATGATGCTTCTTACGTCCGTTTTGGAGAACCAGAGGACAAATATTTCAATCAATCGCTCAGGCATGGCACCGAAATGAGGCACCGAAATCTGCGTTTGGATTCGGTTCTAGTACATACCGGTTACATAGGTACCGGTGCCATATTGGTACCGGGTTTCGGTACCCAACCCAATAGCAAAGCAAACAAACAAACAGTGTTTCACTAATGCGATCTGGAGCTCTGCTAATTTTACCCCGTGTTTACACCGGATGCGAGCGGCGCAACGCGACTATAGACAACAGAACCCATTATAATCTGTGATTTTGTCTACACTGGATGCAGCACAGATTGACACAACAAATCCCAGACAGTAAACTGATGTCCTGCTCAATTTCTGACATGCAAGCATTCACACCGCTTTTGACCTGAAAGAGAAATTGATTCACGACATGACGCAACAGCGCTCACATCCGATGTAGATATACACTACACAGTGTCTTGTAATTTTTTTAATGTCATCTGTATGGTTCTGTTGATGGAGTAATCCTGTGTTTGCATCTCTCTAGTATTTCCTCTTCTCCTACTACAAGCGTGTATCAGTGGGCAGGGCTAAAGAGGCAGTGATGTAGAAGCAGGCGTTGATCACCTCCTGCAGAGGCGGTGCTTAGCCACACTATTATATCATAAAGTGGCACATTCCAAAGCGAGTCATTTTCTGAGCTTGGTTTCAATAAAAGCTCTTTAAACTAACGAGAAAGTTTTGACTTTTGAAACTTACAGGATGTTTTTTTATAGTACATTGACATGTCAAAAGATCAAGGGAAATTTTATTTCTCAGTTCATGACCCCTTTAAGATGTTTTCTTAAAATGGTTAGTAGTTTTCTTAATACGTTTTCTTAATATGCTGGTGTTTTTTTCTATTTGCATGTGTTTTTTTTCTTTTGCAGAGCGTTGAGCTCTCTCGCCCACCGTACTAAAGCCTGGTTTAAGCAAATTCTCATTTATTGTTTAAGAATTAGCAGGTTGTTGTACAACTCTTTTACAAAATAAAAATCAATAAAGTGATAAACAAATGTTAATCAAGATTTTAAAAAAACGAACTATAAACTGTAACTATTTGTTTAAAATGTGAATGCAACTAAGATTTTTATTATATTTTAAATATAAAACCTAAAATCTTGAGACCTAAAATAAAAGATTGAGAATGTTTTTGAAAGAAGTCTCTTATGCTCACCAAGGTTGCATTTATTTAATCAAAATAAGAGTAAAAACAGTAATATTGTGAAATATTATTACAATTTAAAACAACTGTTTTCTATTATAACATACTTTAAAATGTAATTTAATCCTGTGATGGCAAAGCTGAATTACTCCAATCTTCAGTGTCACAAGATCCTTTGGAAATTATTCTAATATGCTGATTGGGTGCTTAAGAAACATTTCTTTTTAATATTTCTGTGGAAACCGTGATACTTTTTTTCAGGATTTTTTGATGAATATTAAGTTAAATAGAACCGCATTTATTTGAAATGGAAATCTTCTGTAACATTATAAATGTCTTTAGTGTCACTTTCAATGACAATGCATCCTTGCTGAATAAAAGTATTAATTTCTTTCAAAAGAAAAAAAATATTTTCTGCTTCCTTTAGCAATGAACAATTCAAATTATCCTTAACCTCTAAAAGGCACATACTGTCTGTTGAGGTTGTACATGCTGTCTGTTTGAGAAAGACATTCTTAATGATGAATTTCTCACACATACCATTGCGTGAAACATCACATATGAGGTTCCAGGCTTTGATGAAGTCTGGCTCTTTGCTCTGTAGTTTAACCACACACTGGTAGGCCCTCTTCTTAAACTCCTCATCCTCATCAAACCTTTTCTTTGACGCCTGATGGAGATGAAAGAGGAAAGTAGTTTAACAGCTTTGAAAAGTAAAAAAAAATTAATAATTTGCACAGAATGCACAACAAAGCTCTTAGCACTTATGGAGTTTCTATCAAAGCCTTCCACAAAGAAACTATATTACAAGGGACCATGAAAAACAATTCAATTTCACATTGAATTGTTAATATAATTAAATGCAAGTTATTATAACTTACATTTAATTATATATTATACATTTTTGGAGATGTGCATCCTTATGACGTCAGTTTGACAACGTAGGGGAGTATCCTTGACCACTCCCCTCCAACTGTTAGCTTGCTACAATTGATCGTGGAAAGGATGTGCGCTAAAATAAAACCCTGCCTTCTATTTAATATTTCGTTTCAGTTGGAAACACATTACAATACTGAATTAAAGTTGGTAGCAACTACCGGTTCACCGCAGACTGCTTGTCAAATTCTACGCGCAGAAGAAATAATATGCCGTGCACAGGACACACGCAAAAAAAATGAGTTGGGAAAGCCATTTGATTGAATTCTAGTAAATGCTAAATAACTGAAATGTTTGGGCAAACCGCTATAGAGTTGGTGTCGCTATAGAGTTAGAACCGGTGAATGCGGTTTACAGGTTTCATAGAAAGTGAATGATGTGCGCCAAATGAGTCACTGTAAAAATCGAATACTTTTATGGTTATGGACAAAAGAGCTCAACACGAGAGCCAACGCAAACGCAATGACGTGAAAAAAAAGGTCATCATGTTTGAAAGAAGACGCTTTGTTTAAGTTAAATGGCTTGATTAGGTGGTGGAAATAGCGGATGATGAGCACAGAACGGTAACAAAACTCCGAGACATTTACAGTCACACACAGGTGTAGTGTGCAAACTCTACTACTCTAAACTCTACTTAGATAGCTATATAAGAATTTACACGTTCACTTTTTTTTTTATATATTTAGCTTACAGATCTCAGTTTAAATGCTCCAGTTTGTTTTCTGTTCTGTTCTATTCTATACTATTCTATCAGTTTAAATGCTTCAGTTTGTTTTTGTTATATTATATTATTATAAACATAATAAATGACCTCAAAAAGGGAATTCATGAGCAATATCTGCTTCATTTTTTTCATATAATATTATATCATATTATAATACATTATATAATATAATATTAGGGATGTAACAATTACCGTTTGACGATAAATCATGATAAAATTCCCGACGGTTAGTATTACCGTTTCATATTTTAATTATCATTAAAACCATATTAGATTACCGCGATTTGAACAACTCATGATAAATAAATACTGTCCAGTAGTGATCGACCGATATTGATATTTTATAACCGATACCAATTATTTGCGTGTTTATGTGCCCGATAACCGATATGCAGAACCGATATTTATTTACTGTTATAAAGTAAATAAATGACTGAGTGAAGTAAGTCCATAGTAAGTTTTTCCTCCTTTCAGCCATCTTTAAAAGGCTGGCATTATCAGAATTATTAACAATGTTTTTATTAGTGTATAACATGACCGTTATTCTTAAAAGCCCACTTATCAATTTTCAGCTGACCCAATTTATAAAAAAATAAAAAAAACAATAGGGTAAGTAACGTAGGGTAAGCATTGGTGAAACTGATCAGCAGTCTCCAATTCTGAACACATCCATCAGGTTGTATATAACAGATACTCACTTTGTAGAAAGCCTGAAGGTCACCAATAGGTGGGGAAACACTGAGATAATTTGGGAACTTGTCTTGCAAATGAGCAATGAGCATCCCAAACTGTGTCCCCCAGTCTCCAACATGGTTCAACCTGACAGATAGAGGACAAAATAATGAAAGATACACTCAAGCAGTAATGAACACACAGATTACTGCTGGCCAAAAGCGATGCAATAAAAGAATATCCTTTTACTTAACATTGAACCACTTTTCTCCCTTAGGTTTATGTTTTGGGAGGAACAAAAAGATTGTAAAGTCATGGAAGAACATATTATCATATACATACCTAACATTAGCTAAAAATTGAATCAAGCTTCCATGATAACAGTGATTTCTCTGATTGGTGGATATACATTTCAAGATTGTGAATAATGTAGTACTTCATTAGGAATTTAATGAAACTTTTTTTTAACTCTTTCCCCATCAGCATGTTTTTTTGTTGTTGTTTTTTTTAAGTTGCCAGCCACAGCCAGCATTTTTTCATCATTTTCACAAAAGTTTACTGGACCCCATAATATTTTATTGTATACATATCTGAACATGCAATGTCAAAAAAAAAAGAACAACAACAAAAATAAAAACAAAGTATTTTTTTTATCAACACTTGAATGTGGGCAAGTTTTATGAAAAAAGCAACATTTTGAACAAAAAGCTGAGAAAATTGTGTTTTTGTAAAAGATGTCTGGATCAGATTCAGAACGATGATCAAAACATAAATGGGATAGATCGCTTTCATCAACATATTTAAAGCTTGCACAATCCTATTCCACTTCCTGGATTGTCATTTCATTCTGTAACGTTATAATAATCAGAATAGCATAGGTTTTATAGACAATTGGACGAGTTTTTGGGGCAGACCTGACCTGTTGAAAAGAGATGGTCTTCATCCCTCCTGGGGTGGTGCCGCTCTTCTCACTAGATATATGGCACATAGTCTTAGAGTTTGTACTTGACTAACTGGGGCCCAGGTCAGGAAGCAGACAGACTGGTAGTCTGCCATTCTGCTAGCCGCCTCACATCACAGAAGTCAGTTAACTCTAGTTTTCGACCGATATTGATATTTTATAACCGATACGATACCGATTATTTGCGTGTTTATGTACCCGATAACCGATATGAAGAACCGATATTTATTTATGGTTATAACGTAAATAAATGACTGAGTGAAGCAAGTCCATACTTCACTTTGGTTTTTCCTCCTTTCAGCCATCTTAAAAAAAAAAAAAAAGTGTTGAAAATTACCAGTCTTTCATGTTAAATTTAATCTTCATATTACAATAAAAACACATTTTATTTAAAGCATCAGCAGCAACACTAATATTAATAATAAGCAAAATAAATGTAGAAGGTCTAATGTTTTCAAATGGAGAAAATAAATAAATGAAAAGAGGTCATATCAACTTCATTTTAAACTACAGTTTTAGTAGGTTTATAAGCTATCGGGGAAAATATTGGTAAATCGATATATCGGTCGATCTTTAGTTAACTCTCAGCACATAAAGACTCTTTTACCTTGATATCATATTATAAAGACTGTGTCTACTCCCCGAACTAGCAAATACAAAAAAAACGTCCAAAACTATTTAAATTAAACAATTTAATTGATGTTCAACAAATAAAAAACAGATATAATACAGATAAACAAATGATAAAGCTTGGCTTAATGAATATTTGACCCCTTTCTACAAAAGCGCTTTTTGTAAATGATATGATCACAGATCATAACTTAGATGTGCTCTGTTTGATAGAAACCTGGCTAAAACCAGATGATTGCATTATTTTAAATGAGTCTACCCCCCAAGATTACTGTTATAGACATGAGCCGCATCCAAAAGGTAAAGCGGGAGGTGTTGTTACAATTTATAGTAATATTTTCAGTATTTCTCAGAGCTCTGGTTACAAGTATAATTTATTTGAAGTAATGGTGATTCAAATGACATTATAGGGCTGCAACAAACGATTATTTTGATAATCGATTAATCTAACGAATATTGGAACGATCAATCGACTAATCATCGATTATTTCATTGATTAATCAGTAGACTTTGATTATAAAGCTTCTGCAATTAGTTAAAATACTGAGTTATACATTCTAACAAATAATGGTAATCATTTCAGCTTTTGAAAATCATATTATATAATTCCAATTATTATACAATTAATTTATACAAATACATATATTTGGCACACAAAATGAGATGACAGACGGAGAAACTCTCATTCACCATTTATTTAGCTATATGAAAAAGTAACTGAATGACATCATTCTGCCTAATATCTCCTTTTAAGTCATATGAATATGAAACAAAATAAAGGTAAGTGATGGGACGTTTTATTTTTGGATAAACTATTTTATTCACAACATAATCTCTCTTAAAATACCTTATAGGGTTATGGTAATCAAAACAGTCCTAAGCTAGATCAAGCTTTGATCTCTACAAACCAAACTATCACTTTAATGAAATAATATATTTTTCCCCACTAATAAAACGATTTTATCATAAGCTAGCTACACACTGGAGAGCTGTTTTATAACAGAAAATCAAGTTGTAATTCTAACTGAAAGTGACACTGATTTTGGTTTTTCATGTTTAATACTGTAAAGCTGCTTGATTTAAGCAGGGTTTATGCAGGATTTTTAAGCTCAAATTTAAGACCTTTTTAAGACCTGCATAAATAAAATTAATACCATATGAGCGGGGTAGGGCAATGTCTATAGTACCATATTAAACGGTAAAATTACTGTAAAAAGCATAACTTACAGTTCAGATACAAGTTTTCACAAAAACAAAAAGTTTTATAAAATTTTAAACTTTGCATTTCAGCCTTTAAACAATTTTTAAGAAAACAGATGAGTCAAAAGTATTAATTATTATATTAATTTAAACAATTATTATTAATAAATTATTATATCAATTAAATAGCATAAATTAGGGGTTTGCGATATTGACAAAAATGATATCTCGATAATTTTCTGGGATTTTATCGATAAATAACGATAGACAATATTTTGCTGAGTGTGTTATTGTGCTGATATCTTATCTCTAATTGTGCCGACTCCTGAATTTTTTGATATTCTTCATATTCTGTGTGGTCAGTTCACCGCAGTGATATAAATTAATTATTTCCAACAAGTTTCATGGGCATTTTTATCTTTAAGCCATTTTTTCTAAAAGTGTGCACCATCTTTTGAGTCAAATTCTTGCATTTGGGCTGTTACCAAGCAAATGAAATCAGTATCAACAAAATTGATCTTTGCAATGCAGAGGAAACACAGAAGCTGCCTTAGAAGTGGCATTTAGATGTTTATTACTGTTTAATGCAGCTCTGAGGGACATGGAATACTTTAGCCTGCAGTTACAAATGCATAAATAATGTTTTGATCTTTTAAACAAAAAAACATTTAAAACTTTGAAGTTTGAAATTATATTTAAAATGAAAAGGTACCTACCTTAAATGTGAAATTAAAACCGCCAGTAGGTGGCAGCAAGTCACTGTTAACTGAGTCATTGTGATTGAACCGAATCATTTAAACGGTTGATTAATTCAGGAATGAAACACCTTCATGTTGCTCAGTGATGCAAAACAGCGCTTTGGCTGTTTTTGAAATGAATTTTGTTGGAGAAATAGAGCAAAAACAGGAAATATGGCGTCTAAAATGTAAGACTCTTAATATTAACGTCTTGTGTATTGAACTGTTGTATAAAATCAATATCACATTTGTAATCATGCTGACTTTTGGAGAAAAAAACGGCACTCTTCGTGTGATATTAACTATATGAAATGATATAAATATATAAATTTCCTGCCCCATATCTTGAATTATATAATTCTAAATGCATTTTAATAGACTTGATTCATGCAGTGAAAGAACGCACTATAAATGCGCACGCGCACTAGTAGACTTCATCATGTAATGTATGCGCGCACTTCTGTAGGTGTTTTGTTTGCTTTTCACGATATACTCGATAATATCAAATCGTGCTTTGAACATGCAGCACTCATGTTTATTTCAGGAAATCATAGCCTTTTGAAGTTTAATCGTCACATTGAGCCATATCGCAATTCTGGTCTTTCCGTCCCCAAATTTAAGACCTCTTGAAATCATAATTAAGACTTTCTTGTACAATTTAAGACATTTTAAGGCCTTAAAAATTTGATACAACTAAATTTAAGACTTTTTAAAGACCCACGGAAACCCTGTTTAAGGCTATCTATTGCATAAGGGCAGATTTAGGAGCGGCTGTATTTGCTCTGAAGTGCTGTGTCTTCTCTTGAATTGCATACAGGAGGGCTGAATTACAGTCTTGCGCCACACTGGTCAAACAGCATTATCGCAGGCTCTTACATTAGGTCATATGAGATCAAATGACTACACGACAACAAAAATATTTGTCGACAATTTTTTGTCAATGTTGTCGATAATGTCGACTAATCGTTTCAGCCCTATAACATTACCCAGAGAAACAAGTGTTAATGATAAATCCCCTGTGATGTTTGTACTGGCTACTGTACGTATACAGGCCACCAGGGCACCATACAGACTTTATCAAAGAATTTGCTGATTTTCTATCCGAGTTAGTGCTGGCTGCAAATAAAGTCTTAATTGTTGGTGATTTTAATATCCATGTTGATAATGAAAAAGATGCATTGGGATCAGCATTTATAGACATTCTGAACTCCATTGGGGTCAGACAACATGTGTCAGGGCCTACTCATAATCATTCTTTAGATCTAATACTGTCACATGGAATTGATGTTAATGGCGTTGAAATTCTGCAGCAGAGTGATGATATCT